TTTACAAATTAATATCACTGAAAAGAATCTAAAGCGACATTTGTTTTTCGAAGCAGTTAAAAATTCATTCACATTAAATTGGTATCATTATAGTAAATCTCCTACTTTATAACATTTATATTATAATGGCAACTAACAGACACGGTGGTCGATCGATGTCCTCAAGAAATCATTTCCATGTTACAATAATATTCATAAGCAAAAATGTATATTATTTCTCAATATATATGCAGACGATCGACTAAATAAAGTTACTAATGAGATAAAGATCATGAGTGGGAAATTTATGTCAATTTCAAGTTAGTTTTTTTTTTAATAAAATTCAAAATCGTCTCAAGTATTGCCCGAAGCCTAAAATGAGACGAAAAGAGCAAAGGTTTTAATTAAAATATTAATAAATGAGATATAATTAACATAAATTATTAATTAAGATGCTATATCTATAGACATACGCGAAGATGAGCGTAAAATGGAAAGAAAATAACAAAATAAAATGTTTTTTTTTTTCGTGGCTTGAGCGAAAAAAAGAAAGAAGAAAGAAAAATAGAAGAATTAATATGATGATGACTCTATAGATAGACATTATTTTATATGAATATGATATTTGTTGAGCCCACATATTCTCACTCTCGCTTACTTTTCTCAATATATTCTCTATATCTTATAGTTAATAGGTTCTTTGCTGCTGCTTCTGATACTACTGACGATTCTTCTTCTTATTCTTACTTGCTTGCCTGCTTTATTTTTAACAATAACAAAGGAATAATAAAGATGATAGTCATTATGGTTTTTAGTTTAGTTTTTGAAGGGATTTGATAGCCTGATGGAATCGTTTTCTTGTCTGACTGTCAAGTTTTTAATTGCTGGGTAAATGTTAGAAAAATTATTATTGTTTTTAAATTATTTAATTTTGGAGAATTATGGTTGCGTGATGCCGTGGGATCCTTGTAGGGAATTAATGAGATTTTTATTTATTTATTTTAATAAGTTTGTTATTAGCTGTCAGATGAGGATTTGTTCATGTGGTTTAAATTCAAGTTTATTGTAATACAGATACTAGAAAACGCTCGGTACTAGAAATTTTCGTTCCTTAATTGTATTAAAATCAAGAGTCCGATTTTCAAACTATGAACGCTTTCAAGATTATCAGAACTTTATTTAAATTCATAAAACCGAGCAATTTTAAAACAGAAAACAAAGATTTTTATCACTAAAATGCAACAAAACATTCTTTTAAAATATATTTTGCGGCACTAAAGATTTTTTTGGGGTTTTTCTGCACAAACCTTAAAGAATTTGAATTTATTGGAAGTAAAACATTAAACGCGCATAGCTTAGAGACTCGAATCGAAAGAATTCAAAGATTAGTATCTGAGATAAACTGCAGACTGGTTCTTTGTCCATAGAAGAGGCAAAAATATAAGAAAAGAAGCTAACAGTAGCGACTGTGATAGCCCAGAGCAGTCAAGTGTTCAACTTGGACTAGTTGAAGTTCTGCAGTTTGTAAGTGAAGTTTACAAGAGGAAATCATTTAGAATACTTTGAAGTTCTCATAGAAGAAGTAGATTGTATTGTGATAGCATAGAAGAGTTGTTTATTTATTCCGTCCAGAACTGTATTGTAGAGAGTAATTTAGAAGTTAAGTCACAAGTTTCCTTTTAATTTTTTTAAAAATGAACAATTATTTTAAACTGATTTTCAAGGCACAAATATGTGATAAGAAAACTTCACAAAATTGTGCGTGATCTTCATATACTTTAGAAGATTGCCAACTGTCTCAGAATCCTGTTGCTAGAAAGACAGCACCTAAGTACAATCCCAAAGCTAAAAACACACACAGAGAAATAATCCAGATCGTTTAAGTTAATTACAATAAAGCTAAAGCAGGAAATGAGCCGATTGAGATATAAAAATTTCTTAATTTATAGTCAGTTTATTAAAAGTATTTATCCCATATTAGAATCTCACTCGAAACAATTTATAATACCTGATTTTACTATCTAATTATTTGCGCAAAATCAGAGAGTCTTAATAAATTAAGCATTTAATATCTTCATAATGAAGTAATTCTATATATGAGCTATAAAATATATTATAGCTTACGACAATTGATATTGACTTCGAGCACTTTAGCAAGTAAGTTGAAACTTGGTATTTTTTGAGTTTTAAATGTTCTAGAATTTCAATTATTTATGTTTCTCTTGTAATTAAAGAATTTCTTTATGAAATTTACTTGATCCGGTATCTGAAAATAGAATTGAATTTGTTCTTATGTCTGTTGACATCTTGGTTGCTTCGCGACCTTTAAGAGCTTAAACATCTCTTGAAACTTCACAGACACCTCAAATTTCCTGTATTCAAAAATCTCGAAATTTTTTGAGAAATAACATGACAAGATTGGGCAACTTTGAAGCGTAGGAAGAGTGTTAGTTGTCTGAGTACAATGTTGTCTAGAATTGGCTCTGCATCCCAAAAAACAACTCTCAACCATACCACTATTTAGTTCATTTAAAATGCGCCCAAACATCATCTCATGTGTGCCGAGACACTCATTATTTTTCATTTACTTGACCACATCATTTACAACATATTCTTTCTTCCTTCGTTATTTTTGTCGAGAGAGAAACGAAAAAAAAAACATGTGTTTTTGTGGTGTGTGACTGAATAGAGAGCATAAACATAATTTTTATCCTCATCATCATCATGAAAATCATCATATCTCGTATATATACGCATTTAGGCAATCAATGGACGGAAGGGACATTATTATGTATACCACAAGCTAATTTCTGTCACTTCATTGTTCTATTCATTCAATATTTTTTAAGTTAGATCAATCAAAAAGACATTATTATGAGAATCTGAATAGCATAATGATGGCGGCATGCTTTAGTCGTTGGCTTAGACATACAAAAGTCCTTATTAAGACTTGTTGCTGTTACTCCAAAAAAAATTGTTCGCCCATTATTTTAAAAAACCTCACACGCATCGAGCAACTTTTTCTTTACTGACTTTGTCGTTCGCTGTTCGTCGTCATCATCATAAACAACATGTATACAGCATATAGCATAAAAAGAGATGAGATTGTCTTTTTTGCCGCGTCGTCTAAATTGAGTTATGAGCTCATGCAAATTAATATTCGTTAATCTTTATCAACATACAAAAAAAGAGACACCGAAAGAGAGAGAAAGGCCGAGAGTTCCTTATATCTTCACTGACTGTATACAACACTGAATTATAATTTATGTCGCGCATTTAAATTGACATGGATTAAGGCAGTTGAAGAAGAAAGGAAAACAGTTCTTTTTGTTGTGTACGCGGCAGAGAACGCGAAGATTAATCTTGATAAAGAATGATTTTAGAAGGGGATTTTTACTGGTTTTTGAGTGGCTTCCATTAGCGATAATTTAGAGATTTAGACTAATTTATTAGCTTCAATATTAACGCAAATTTGAATCTATTTCATTTCTCTCTTCTCTATATTTGCTTCATTCATATATTTTTTTGGCATTTGTCGCACTTCCGTTCAAAATCTGCTTTAGTAAACTTTCTATCTATCTATGGCTAGATCGTAGGCTGCGTGCTAAGGAATACAAAATCAGATAAAATTGTTGGACGAAAAGAAAAACAAACTTTTTGGATTTAAAAAGTCGTCCATTGAAAGAAAATAGTCAGCAATTCTATAAAGCATCGAGCAAACTTCCGCAGTTGTACTCTGAACCACAAAAAAAAGTCACTCTTCCTACTTTTTTTTTGCTCATTAGTAAAAGGATGTGGAAAAGGAAGAGAAAAAGTGCCAGCACACAATCGTTTTGCGCTTAATGAGAAAAAGTGTGAATTTTTTTTTCTGTTGTTGCTCTTTCCATCCCCATTTTCCATCCAGAATAGTATTGTGACAAAAAGGGAGCACAAAAAAGGCATTTTTATATGATGTTGAATGTACAGAAATTTGTTAAAATATTTTTTGCAGGCATTTTGACGTATAGGCATTACCACAAAGTGCCATTAATTTTTTTCTTCCTCCTGGTTCTATTCTATTTCGTAATGAATCATTTTACTGCATTGCTCTATTGTTCTTCTAACTAGATGTTGGGTTTTGACAAATATGATGTGAAAGATTGTTTGTGGATGGCAGTTGTTGTGAATTATTGTGGATTTACTAGAATGAAAGCTGGAGATTGCGACTATCTGGTGGTAGGGTTGTATTCTGAGGACTCTATTTTTTGAAGTTCTACTGGTTTCTTTTTATAGCAGCTGTGTTATTGCAGTTAAAGACCAGTTCACTATTTGTACCAGATCAGTGGGTGTTTTCTTGGGTTACTCAGCACCATTGAAAAGACAATGGATGTGTTACACTTAAAAATAAAACAAAATTTGACTTTGACAAGAGAAGGATGAACTTTTGAGGTTATAAGACACTTGAGTACCTTAAGTCAATTGCTTAAAGTCAGAGCACTAGCCTAATTTTAGTGAATAAAGGTTCCTATAAGCTACCTCCCTAACAACAGCCATTTAATAGCTCAAAGTTGCTCTTAGTCAGCCATTATCATAGCTTAAAATGAGTTTAAAAATTTTAAAAAATTAAAAACCTATTAACAAAAAATCTGCAATAAAACATCCAATGCCATCAGTGATTAAGATATCATCTGCATTCCTCAGTAGCCAAAAATATAAATAATTCACTATGCAAAAACGCCAGAAACTTGATATCCATCCCAGATTATCATGCAAAATAATAATTTACTCTGATAAGAATCAGCATCTATTATGCAGATTCAAGAATTCTCTTTTCGACAGTAAAAACCTCATGAAAATTTTTCATCACGAATATACCACAACATTCTACAGCTATAAAAATTCAAAATGACACAATAACAAATGTAGAGAATTATATCATTTAATTCTTGCCATTTTTTTTTTCGTTCTCGTTTACACTCGTAATCCACATTTATATATCTTCATGTAATCATAATTTTTCTCTCCTTTATGTTTTTTTGCAGGCAGACAGTTAAACGTCACCGACAACATAGCGACACAACAACAACAAGAAAAGTAATATATATAATAAATATTACGGAATCAAGCTAAAAGTATAATAAGAAGTGAAAATGATTATGACAAAAATGTACAAAACTTTTTTGCTACTGCTGATGTCATTCACAACATCATGCATGACAAGTGAAATTCAATGGGATCATAGGGTGGATCTTGATGACAATTTTCAATTATTATGGCGTGTGAAACGTCCTGACATTATCTTTGAAGTGCGCGTACGTACACACGGATATGTTGGATTTGGTTTTGCTCGAAATGAGTACATTTATGGTGCTGATATGATCGTTGGATGGATAGACAACAAGCATTCATTCTTCCAAGTAAGTAAAAGATTTTAGTTTTTTCTTTCTTTTGGGTTAGATCTTGATGGGGAATTAATGTACTGAACATAAATTCCTGTTATTTCCCTTGTTAATCTTTGGGGTCGATCACAAATGACGTCTAATATTCAGAATATATTTCTCTATTAATTGGCATTGATATGAAATATTATTCATTGAGCAGTCTTCAAATCATATTGATGTCATTTACGAACAACCCCACATATCCCTCCTAAAATTAATGCCTTCAATCTACGATCACTTCCTTTTCTCCATATCCAAAAAATTCTCAATTTAATATTTTGTGTATAACAAGATGACATTGAAGGAATGACTGGTGGAAAGAGTAGAGGGAGACTTATAAATATATAATATGAATAAGTCACAACATGAGAGTATATGAAGATTAAGGGAGCTTATAGTGGTATATTCAATTTAAAATATTGATTTGATTCTCATTTTATATCGTTGTATGAATGCTCTTTTATATATGCTTTGGCACGAGTTCGTGCTAGAAAAAGAAGAAAATGTCAAAATATGCGAAAATGTTTTTTTTGGCGCAAAATTTCATATGAGTAAAATGGGGGGGTTGATGTGTTCAATTTGACCTGGTTTGATGACTGAATTGGTAATTTATGAAATGAGAATATCAAAATATGCTCAAGGTCTGATGAAGATTTAATGGATGTTTTAGTGCCAGGGGAGGTTAATTTCTTTTTGAATTTTGTTGATTTTTGAACCAATAAATTCAAGGATTTCCAACTTTAATGAACTTTGGATATTTTTAAGATACTAAGATTTTTGCAGAAAGTGATCAGAAATTTTCAAAATATTAAAACTTAAATCCAAATAAATCGTTTATGAACCATAATTTTTTGTAAAATTTTAAAAGCTGAGCAGCTTTCTTGTCATGTAGCGCAGATTAATGAGAAAAATAATTTACACGAGACAATTGATCGTAAAATTTTACATCATTTTGTGTAATTTTTCACCTGGGGCTTGAAATTTTATTCTATTGTACACAAGACTAGAATATTAAATGTCAATAGATTCAGTGGAAAAAGTTATTAGTAGGGATTATTATCTAAATAAATAAGATGAGTTGATTGCAAAAGTTAAGTAATATTTGTATTGATTTGAAGTTTAAAGATTTTGAGAATTTGTTTAAGTTAATGAATGTTTAAATATTTTTTTGATTTTGACTTTGACTAGATTCGACTTAAACTTAGATTATTTCTGATAGCCAAAACAGATCGAAGATTTAGCATACAATAATGGCTTGATATAAATCAAGATTCAGAAGATTCTTATAACTTAGAACTTAATTGATTGACAAGTAAAGTATGATTCAGTGTTTCTCAAATTGTGCTCCGCGTTACTCTCCTGTGGTAGTATTATTTTTGTACGTAGGGCTTGACTCTCATAAACTGTCCAGTGTACTTTTCTATATTAAAATAATATTAAAATGCAGACAATAACTTAATATAACCTAAAATCCTACATCCCAATGCATATAATGCATAAACCCAACAATTCCATCACCAAACAAGTCTAAATTTACCAAAAATCAAATTCAAGATGATTGACAAAAGATTAAGAAAATAAAAATTTCAGAGACTCTTTTATTTAAATTTTACAATGCCTCATTGAACTTTTCCTATAATCTTTATAAGGTTCTTAAGCTTCCTCATCAAATTTTGATCTCATCCTTCTCAGAATTTTATTTTCATCCTTCTATAAAAAAAAAAAATTCCATCATCAATCGGCTTAGACGGAGAATAAAAATTTGGATAAAAAGTAAGAACTCATCGACTTGTGATTTGAATGTTTATTGAGAGATTTTTTTTTTCTTTTCTTTGAAGGTCATATGTTGAATAATTTATTATTCTGTATCTTTTTGCTTAAATACATTTAAGGGTGCAGGAGTAAAGATATCTAAAACATATTTCCTTTCTGTCTCATCCTTCCTATCTTATTTTTCCATTTCATTATTTTCCTCTCACTTTTTTTCTTCTCGAAAATAACAGAAGACAGAAAAGAAGGTAGAAAAAAAAAGTTTTTCCATGTGTTCATTCCTTTATACTTTGTAAATCCTGTTTTCAAGTCACGAGTCGTTTTAATCGCTCGGTAAAACTGTTTAGAAATATCTTTTATTTTTCTCCTTTCACAAAATAAAGCTTTTCTTCGTTCTCCTTAAATTTCTCCTTTCCTTTTTATAGACTTTAATACCTTTGGACAGAGAGAAAAATACTGTGTAGGAATCCTAAGTAAACAAAAGACTGAACAAGTATGGGAGGTTCTTGTGAAGAGCTACGGAAGTGTATTTTCTGTGTTTACTGAAATTAGAGATATGAAAAATTGTTGAGTTGAGGAATTTTTTTCGATTAAATTGTTTTCTGAAGAGATGTTCTGGTGAATTTTGAGAGTTTTTTTAAATATTAATTACATTAAGGTGGAATTAATTTTGAGTTTATTTAAAAGTTTGAAAACTTCTTAATTTTTTTGACATTTATTAGTTTCAAAGGCAATTATTTGAAGGCAAATTAATCTAAGGACGAATCCCTTAACTTATTATATCTAATATTAAGCTAGAGACGGTTACAACAGGTTGGGTTTATCTTTGACTTAATAAAAAATCTAGCTTTGGTTTTAGGTAGATGCGCAGTTTTAATCTGGACAGTCGCGCTATTTTGAAGAAAGCACCTCCAAAAATCCTTAATGTCCCGCTTTAATTAATCCTTTTCTTTCTTCGAAAATGCCTGTCCTGCTTTTTCAGAGCTGAAATCAGCACATGTCTCCCTTTTTGACCAAAATCAAACTAATGGACAGCTTATTTTAAAGAAGTGTAGCTTAGTAGCTAAGAATCTCACTATTTAGATTTTGGTGGATGTCTTCTAAACATAGGAAAATTGGGTTGATACATGTTGGTCCCCACTTGCCCTTCATTTAAATGTGAATAAACTCCATTATAGATTTAGAATTTCTAATATTATGCATTCATGTTTAGCTGTAGAACTTCTTAGAGACTAGTAAGGTATCCACCAAATCCTCTTCAACAATAGAATATCATTAACATCCTCACCAGACAAAATGTTCCCACAACAAACCCATCCATTAGATGTACTCAAAAATATTTTTGTGATAGGAATGTTTATATAGTAAGGGAGTAATGAATTTCTCTCAGGAAGAGGAGAAAAAAAGGTAAAAAAAAACTTCGACATTGTCGTCTTTACGTTTTTAATTCTGAAAATGTCGTCTCTGTCAATAACACGGCAAAGTGAACACACGGAGTTAACAAATTTTTTTCCTTCTTCTTTTGTGTGTGCAGTTCTCTCTTTTTTTGAACATTTTTATAACAAATTGCTTTTAACTTTAACGACAGCTAAAGAAAACGAAGTGAAATGAAATACACGATGAGAGATATAGTGGAAAACCACAACTGGGATAATGGACAATGGATGTAAGACAATAGAAATGAAATTATTTCAAGTATTCTTCTTGCCTTATTCTCTGTGTTGTTTTTCAAGAACCGCCACTAAAAACAAAAGAAGGAAGATGTGAACGAAGCTTTTGGTCGGTTTGGTCGGTTAGATAAAAATTCTGTACAAAACAAAACTGAAGAGAGAAGCGATAATTATCAGGAATTTGAAAAATCTTCCACATTGTCTCCATTCTCCATCTCCTTCACTCAGTGTTTGAGTTTCTGTTTCTTTGCACAGTTGAGAGTTTTTCTTGTTTTTCACATTGTTTAATTTCTGTTTATTTGAAATAACTTTTTAACTGCCCCGGATGGTTACGTTCTCATGCAGCTATTTTTATAGGATGTTAAAAACCAAAAACACCAAGAGAATTTTTACTTCTGTTTCTTAATCCTTTTTTCCTAACTTCCATGTCAACTGGTTGTGTTGAAGTATTTTTTTTCATCATCATTTTGGCAACTGATATAAAGTCGTTGAGAAATGTTTTTGAATTTTTCACCAGAATTTTCGATAAATTTTGAATTATTTTTGAGTGTTTGAGGATAAAATTCTTTAATTTGTTTCAAGATTTGAATTAACTTTTTCCGTTAATAATCAAATTTGTAAAATGTCATCTAAACTCCAGTTTCCTAATGAAGTTTTCAATTCTGAATGACCAAAGCTTGCACCTCTATTTGTTCCTATTTTTCTTCTAAAAAACATTTCTATACCTTAAAATTCATATCGATTTAGTGATTTATTTCATAGTCACTATCTCTATAGAGAATAATTTTGTTATTTCCAAGATACACAACAGATGAGAATGAGAAGTAACCTATTTTTCAATTCAATGAATCTACCTTCAACTGATACAAAGAATTTTGATTTAATTGTTCAACTAGAAAGCAACAATTTTTAGGAATATTTGAGATTTTAGGATACAAATTTTGGCATTGAATGAAAATATTTTGTTGATGGTTATTGTGTAGCATGAAAATAGATCTCTTTTGGGATTACATAAAATTCAATCAGGTTTATGTTGTTGGCAACCAAATTTTGAATGTCAAGAAAATTTTCATAAAGGCAAAAAAAGCTCGACCTTTTGCGATAATTCAGATTCAAACGCAACATTTTTAATCTAAAAATATCAATATCTGAAATTATTTCTAACACATATAAAAGCTCAGCTATCGATAGTCTAGTCATGAAATATTTCATCAAAATAATGACATCTAATGCCTATGATAAATTAGAAATAATCAGCCTTGTTTCCGTTAATTGGTAACATGAAATCGTAATCTATCAATTGAAACGCTAAGCCTTTAGTAATTGAATTAATTTATAAACATATTGAGTTATGTAAGGAGCTATTATCGTAATTTCTGGATAATTGAGAATTGGGATTTGATTTAACGGAAGTAGGTTGTTGTTATTGATGAGGCTAGGATGGTTGTATGTAATTTAATGAATTAATTTTTGGATTGGTTTAGCCTAAAATAACTGTTACATCATTTATGAACGACTCATTACAGAAGAAAGTAT